TTAGCAAAGAAAATTGTGCTTAACATTTTGATAGGAATATATAGTATATTAGAATGATAGTGGCCAGTGAGTCTGGAAAATTGGAGTACAGTTGTTGAAAATCTTACAGATCTGTTATTGTACACCAGAAAAAAATGAATTTCCCATATCTAATTTGAGGATTTAAAACAAAATTTCTCTGGATATTTCAGTATATTTATCTTCTCTAACATGACTCAGTGTTTAGTGATCTTTATTATTAGAGATGTAGATCCTAGCATCAATATGTTCCACATGATTGTGATTCTTAGGCTAGATCTAGATGGTAGATATACTTACTGAATGTTTATCAGAAGAAGAGCTCTCTCTTCAATAGGCAGTCATTTGGAATCTGTGGGGAACACTTGGGAATAGTTCCCAGGCCAAATTGCTGTTCTATTTATATCCATGACCTCCTTCAGGATGCTGTATCCACTGAGTACTGTAAAGAAACCCTTGAAGGCAGTATTTGGGTCAGAAACATCAACCAAAATGGGTGTAATTAGATTCATTTTTTTTTTTAAGAAATGAAAGTATGTTTTGGAGGAAGCCCTATCAGTCAACACTTAGTTGAAATTGTTTCCTTTCAAATCCCTAAATCATTATGTGTAATTTATTGGATGTATTTAGTGGAACTCAGCTAATTTCAGATCATTGACTGTGTACTGTATCACAGCACTCTCAGCATTCAGAGTGTGGGTATGCACACACGTGTGTGTGTGTGTGTGTGTGTGTGTGTGTGTGTGTGTGTGTGTGTGTGTGTACACATATGCTTATGGATATGTTTGATCTGGTAGTTGTAATCTGTGATTCTGACAAGTCTAGAAAAGTTCATTTCCCCTTGATGAGACAGGAAGACTGAGAAGGAGAGCCCAGGAATGGCTCTGGATGAGAATATCTTTCTCCTTTAAACAAAGTGAACTGATGAGGAAGTATAAATGCAAGTGCACACAACTCACACACATGCACACACACACAATTTTATTTTGTGTTAGTGACAATAAGTTGTCCACTACAAGTGGATCCAAGAAAGTTACTCATCTCATCCTACCACTCAAAGTATTTCTTAAGCATTAACTTGGATAGGAGGATTTGATTATTAGTCAATGGGAGTCTGGTAGGAGATAAACTCTTCTAAATGATCTTAAACTAGAAGAAGTGGACTCAAAAACCTCAGAAATTTATTTTTTTTTCGCCTTTATCTCTCAAGTAATCTAATCTTTATTTTAAAATGTAACGGTGTATGGAAAAAAGTGAACTCTAAAGCTTGATAAAAAACAAACAGCTATGGTAATATGTTAGACAGCAGTCATATGCTCTATTGACCTTGCTTTAGCTTCTTCTCCCTCATTCAGGGAAGGATAGTTTTTTTCAGACATTTCTAAGTGTTATCCTCTCCCCACCTCCATGCTTCATTGGAAATCTTTATTTTTATGTGGTTGTAAACAGAGATGGAGCTTTTTGGCCTTTCCACCCAATTATACCCAGCAATCACCTCCCAAATTACCACACAGAGACTTATATTAATTATAAATATTTGGCTGATGGCTCAGGCTTATTACTAGTTAGCTCTTATGTATAAATTAACCCATTTTTACTATTCTATGCCTGGCCACATGGCCTGTTGCTTACTGGTTCTCTGGCATCTTGCTCCTTCGGCAGTTGGTTGGCTTCTGCCTTAACTCCACCCTTCTTCCTCTGAGTTCTCAGTTTGATTTAACTGCCTAACCATATCTGCCTTGCCATAGACCAAAACTGCTTTTTTATTAACCAGTGAGAGCAACACACATTTACAGTTTTCAGGAGGTCATTACACAGCATGTGATCCTACTCCGGAACAAGTTGGAGAGAGTGAAAATAATTGAGATGCACAATTCTTTATGGTGTCTGCTGTGCTTAATACTATGTAAAATTTACAAAAGCAATTAGAAAGCATTTCAAAAGACAGCCAACTTTTGAACAATTATTATGTCCTCTCTTTCAGTGCTTGCTTGCTTGCTTCATTTCAGTTTAGCTCACATCAATATCCCCAAGAGCATTTGGAGTTAACATATGGTGTATCCACTTATATATCTCATAAACCTGGGGCAACCAGTTATTTTGAAGAGGAGTCACAAAAGTATCTACACACACACACACACACACACACACACACACACACACATTTCTACTAAATGTTCAGAAAACTGCTTTCAATGAAGGAAGAAGAGAGAAATCAAGCTTTGAAGGAACATCCCACTACACAGGGGTTGGTATTAACCCATATTTTCGGATTAAAATGCTGAATGTGTCTTGAAAAGAAAATAAACCAGAATAAATAAAACACCACATAGATATGTTCTTTCCATGCTGCAAACATCTAGATATTTGAAACTCTTTATGTAATCAACTGTTCTTTTTCTCATGACTCCTACTCACCAAATATTGCTATTTCTCCTGTGCACAGGGTGGTTTGATTTTTCCCATGCCCTTCACACTAAATGTGTCCCTATTGACTTGCTCTAGTGAGTGATTCTTTAGAAGTTGTATCTGTCACATGTGGGGAGCTTTCTGGGCATCTGTAAGGACCCTGGGGAATGGTTGTAGGTGTGGAGGCTTTAGCCTTGCTTCTGGAGAGTAAGACGTGCCAAGGATTTCTGTCCTCCACCTAAGCCTCCAACCAGAATAAATCACTAAACATAGATGAGAAATAACTGTTACTTTATGGTGCTAGACTTTGAGGTCACATTAACTCATGATGATTTAACCAAACCTATGCAATGAACTATGTTTAGAGTTGTTTTGGTCTCTATGTGTGGGGCATTTATAAATAATTGCAGGAGTTTCATATCTTAATATGCACCACACTGACTTGCTATGCTTTTAAAGTTAATTTTTAACTTAAAACTTTATATATATATATATATATATATATATATATATATATATATATACACATACATACACATATATATATACAAGTTTTGCCTGTGTGTATGTTTGCTGTACCTTCAGAAGCAAAATAGGCTGCCAGGACAACCAGAACTGCAGTTACAGCTGGCTGTGAACCACCATGTAGATTTTGGAGATTGAACTCAGGTCCTCTGGATGAGCAGCCAGTGCTCTTAACCACTAAGAAATCTCTCTAATCTTGGTGTGGCGTATTTTTGCCCAGCTCTTAATTTTGTTATTTATGACAATTATCATAACTTTCTAGTAATTGGAAGCCAAGTGTTTTAAAATATTTATATAATATCATGTGTGTATCTTAATATGAACTTCATGAACTCATGTGTATTCTGTTTAAATTTCTTTCTCCATTTTTATTCTATAGTGTGTTCATACAGCCTATCAATTGGTGACATCAACTCACCTCATGCTCTTACATTCTCTCCTAAATAGAAAATGCCTTATATGATTATTCATCTTTATCAAACTCTGTGTGTGTGTGTGTGTGCGCGCGCGCGTGCACGCACGTGCGTTTGTGTGGTTATACGCAGGTGGGCAGGTGCATGTACATGTGTCAACTTTGATACTAATCCTCAGAATGAATCTTGTTAGTTTCACAAAGGGTTTTTCATTGGCCTTGAAATCAAAGATTTTAGATAAGCTAGCTGTCTATGAAGGCGCAAATATCTACGTGACTCCCCGCTCCAGCACGAAGTTTATAAATACACATCATCACACCTGGATTTTATGGGTATTCTTGGGAGTTCTTAGGTTCTCATGCGTTTTGTCAACTGAGCTATTGCCAAACCCTCTCTATGGGTTACAAAGTCTTGTGGTACAAATTAAAAAAATGCATATTTAGAAAAGCCCATTTTTTTCTGTAAAGTGGGTGAAAATAATGATTGTGATGATGACAGAAATTCTAAGAAGTTGTGAACCAGGAACCAGGAAAACGTATGTTCAAACTGGCTGCAGCCATATAATTCATACTAATGTTCAAACTGACTGCAGCCATGTAATTCATATTAATAAATTACTCTCTTTTAATTTTGATTCCTGAAAAAATTACAAGTTAATGTCAAGGTACATAGCAAACAACCTTCCAAAATGTAAAAATATGTAGAAATAAAAAGGATCATGGTTGTGAAGAAAGCTTATTGGATCACAGTACTTGCTGTACAAGGACCTGAGTTTGTATTTTTAGAACCCATTCAAAGCTGGACACAGGAATCTACATCTAACTCCAGTAGGAAGAACTATTGATGACCTCACAACAAAGCTTTGGAAATCTGGGGTATTTAATATTGGATTAATATTTTAAATAATGAAATAGCAATGGCCAATTAATATGTATCACCACAATGGAATTAGATTGGGGCCAGAAAGTACCATAACAGGGACTGGTAACTATTTCATTGTATAGTTGTGGCTTCCTATTTTTCTCAGGTCAAATATAATGAGATTTTACATCAGTTTCTTTCATTTAATGTCAGATAATATATATGTATATATATACATATACATATATATATATATAAAGTGCTTAGCATGATCAATGCTATGGAGAATGATTTTAATAAATTTTAGTATTATAATTATTAAGAATATGTAAAAGCAGACCTGACATCAAATTTCAGGTGAGTGCAATATAGAAGTCTGGGGCAACCAAGAAGGTAGGAAAGATGAAGATAAGAAACAAAATCTTTCCAAAGGACTATTGAAAGGTTGGAGAAGATACAAGGATGCCTCTTGAGAGAGCTATCATTTGGAAACCATTTAGATAAAATCACAACCATTCTATTTTTGGAGGGATAATCATATTCCAGTCATTCCTAATTTCAATGATCATTGACGGTGATAATGAACAATCTGAAGTGAGATGTCAGTATTTGATTGTAGCTGTTTACAAATAGCTATTGTGATTACAACAGTTGTATAATTGCTTAATTTATTGATGTTTACTTGACATGTTTTCAGCACCATTTGTGACTGCAGATAATCATTTCTTGTCTAATTCGTTATATGTTTGCATTTGATTTCTCTGATTACTGCAGGTGGAAACAATAGGGGATGCATACTGTGTTGCAGCAGGGCTGCATAGAAAAAGCTTATGCCATGCCAAGCCCATTGCTCTGATGGCTTTAAAGATGATGGAACTTTCAGAAGAGGTTCTGACCCCTGATGGAAGACCCATTCAGGTAACCTCAACAAGCTGATGTGAAAAACAAATGAACCTTTTGCGGGGGTGGGGAAGGATTCAGAAATTCTGTTATGGATTATACTTGCTGGAGTTCATAAATCTAAACAAGGTAGGGATGACCAGTGCTAACTCACAGGTTCAGAGGGGTCCAAATAGGAAAGGGATGTGGAAGACAAATTATCTTGAACTGAAGAAAAAAATGAAAGGATTTGACCAAGGAGAAGACCCTAATTCAGTAGGTAAGTTACTATATTCAAGTGAGGTTGGTAGGGAAAATCAGAATCTGAGCTCTAACCAAAAAGAGTCCAGCACTCCTCATGAGGCTGTGGGCCTCAGAGTTCTGTGACCTTTTTATGTTGTGGAGATTTATTTATTAGTAGTCATTCATAAATGGCTCTCTGAAATCTTCAATCTGTCTTTGAGAATGACTGAGCTACATTCCTGCCAATTACACTCAAAGAATAATCCCAGAATTGCTATTACCACAGATCCTTATAAAACAAATCCTTCATAATGAGAGAAGTGTCTTAAATTCAAGGGAGAACTTTTATAAAATTTCACTGACCACAGATTTTGAAAAAATGGAGAGAAAAGATGCCTCGCATCTATGTACCTTTCTAGTTCCTGTGTGTTGTTAAATTAACCACCCCAAATAAACATTCCATTTTAAACTATTAAAGTGCTGTTTTAAACACATTATAAATAAATTGCACCTATTTGTACACATCTTTGAAATTATGGGAAATGGAGAAGTGTGACAATTATATTATGTGTACATTGAAAAGGGTGGAATTGCTGAGTTTAATATAAATGGTTGGTCATTAACAATGACATTAGGAAGCTGAAAAAATACTACTTGTCCCTATGATTGGTTGGAAAACACCAGCTTTAACCATATTCTCAAAGAATCCCCATAGGTACATAGGTTCACTTTTCATTGAAAAGTGAATGGCTAAAACTAAATATATAGCAAGAGAAAATAAAACTGGGAGGGGGAGAGGGAGACAGTGGAGAGAAGGGGAAAGGCAGAGGGAGAAAGGAAGAAAAAGACACACAGAGATCTAGTAGAAGAACCCACAGAAACCATAAACATGGCAAGACCAGTAATGACATTATCACACATCAAAATTACCATATGGAATTAGATTGACAGTATTCAATATACTTAAAGAAATAAGAGAAGCTGTAAAATGTGAAGAAGGAAAAATACTTGAAAAGAAAGAAGAGATGTTCAACCATCAGCACACTAATTTAAAAATGAAGAGAGAACTGGATGAGTGGGCTTAGAAGCCTGCTATACACAAATGAAGCACAGTCAGGAGGCTAAAAGTTTGTACTGAAGAAAAGTCTTTACACTCTTCAGTGAACAGAAAAACTTTAATTTTATTGTAGCAAAATTTAAACATCTCCCTTTTTATGAAGTACTGAAGAAAATTCTTATTGATAAGACCAGATAATTTAATGATCTCATTTATTAATGGGGAAATAAGAACAATGGAATGTGAAATGCAAAATACGTAAATGATGCAGCAAAGATAATGGGGACATGCATCTACTATGTTCAGTGGTTTTTGAACTGAGATACACAAGGAATAAAGAAAGGAAATGTTTACTAGGACTGTTAAAAGATGCTAATCAACTAAGGGATTCAAGAAATGATATATGCAAAGGAATAAAAAAACTAAATTCCTCTAAATGAGACTGAAGTGCATCAGAGAAGAACATCTGGCAGTTTGTGAAAGAAAAACTGGTCAGTAGGATTGATCATGAGCTATTGAATAAAGGAGCTGTGGAATCATGTAGGGAAAATAAATCTGATCAAATAGTTAATCAATTAAATTGGTTCTGTATTTAATCAAATCCAGGCTGGTTCAATGTGTATGTAATTAGAGGCTTAAAGTAGGAAGAATACATTGTGAATTTAGATAAAAATTCTAACAACGATAAAAAGAGAGATGTTTAAATTTTGCTACAATAAAATTAAAGCTTTTCTGTTCATTGAAGAGAGTAAAGAACAGCTCCAAAGCCCACAGAATTTTTAAGCATATATAATTAATAAAAACAGCTTTAGTCAACCTCACCAATAATTAGAATCACATAAATAATAAAACTATGGCACAGAACTTTGTCTACCAGCTTGGCTAACCTTTTAGCCTCTGGCAGTGTCACTGTTGAAAGGATCCCAAGTAGCGGAATTCTGAATGACAGCTGTTGGTGGTTTGACTGGTACAATCCATTTGGCAATTAGGAAAGTTTAATTTGTGCATGTCATAAAACTCAGCAACTCTTATTCTAGAGGTTTGCCCTAGGGAGATACTTGTGACTGTATAGCTGAAATCACACACAGGATAATCCATAGAAGCATTTTTCCTAATTGGTTCAATTAGGAAATAACTAAATTGTCCATAAATCTTTGAGTGGATAAATCATGACATATTTATACCTTAGCATACCATTCATTTGGTAATTAATGAAATTTGTTGGAGACATCATTGTGAATGAATGTCAAAAACAGTGAGACACCATCAAAGAATTTCACGTTGCTCCACTCAGTTAAAGTTTAAAATCAACAAATTAAAAACACACCTCTTAAGAAATACCTGCATTGATAGAAAAGGTACAAATTATAAACAAGGAGCTACTGTTCTAAAACTGAAGAAGAGCAGGCTGTAAAAAGGAAAGGAAACCCAGGCAAAATTGTTCACTTTACTGTTTTTCATGGGCATCTTTATGTTTATGTGTAACTGTTTCAAAAACTGGAGTTTTCTGGCCAATCCTAAAGTCATGATAGCAGTCTGGTATTGAATCTTGAAAAGAAAACTTACAGTTTTCATCATCATGGCATTTTTACATTATGAATGGCACTTTCCATCACTACAGGGAAAATAAACTACAGAAATGTAGCCTTAGCTCTACTGCAAACTACCACACACTGACATTTTCAACCCCATTACCTGCCCACCTTACTTATTGTTGGGGATTTTTGTTGTACATTGAGATTTCTCTGATAGAGGATTTCATGCTTAAAATTGATTTTCAGTATCATCACAGCAAACTCTGATGACCAGAGCCAGGGCATTGTGTTTTACAGGGTGCCCATTAACGTTTCCAGTTGTGGGTTGTAATATTTACTCCATCTCATGAATCAGTTAGTCTTATTAAATCAGAAGAGGAAATGTTCATAAAGACTTAATAAGGATGGAGAAACAGATTTCAAAATAATAAAACCACCCTCACAAATCCAGACTTTTGCTAATTTATAGTGTTTGCGTAGATGAAGATTCTTTTTTGACTTATGACTTTGATTTTGAAATGTGTTCAAGCTCAGTACCAGGGGGACATCTTCAAGCATAAGGAAAAAATTTTCATTATAAAATGGTTATTGCAGCAGGGCTCATGAGTGACCTGTTGATTGTTTATCTTGAATTATGTAAGACTTGCATGCTCTGCTGCCATAATTGTAGAAAGGAGAGCTTTCCAAGCCATTTAACTTTTGAAAAAATAAAGTAATAGTTTTGCATAGGTCTATCTTGTAATGATGGCTGCCCCAGCTCTTCCCATATCTTCCCCCCTTCCTACCCACCCAACTTGATGTTCTCAATAAATAAATAAATACATAAATAAAAAAGAGAAGATAACAAAACAGAAAAATCCTTCTTTGCACTTGATTTGCATGGAATAGTTTTTTTTTTTTTTTACCATCTGAAAATACAGTATTACTGATGTAACTACTATTACATTTTCATTCTTCTTTAGAAGGAAGTTAATTTTATTCTACTTTAAGCAAAGAGAAAATTAAAAATTAAAACCATTTATGTTCTGAACTATATATAATATGCTGAACTATATTGTAATTTTGTATTTAAACTATATTGTAATTTTACTAGAAAACTCTGATTTTATTCTTTGCCTAACTTTCATGAACCCATTCTTTTTTCTTTTACATTTTGGTTTTTTGAGACAAGTTTCTCTGTGTAACAGAATCCTTTCTGTCCTAGAACTTGCTTTGTAGACTAGGCTGGCCTCAAATTCACAGAGATCCTCCTACATCTGCCTCTCGAGTACTGGGATTAAAGGCACGTGACACCATGCCCCTTTCAGATCTATTTTGTAGCTAGAGTTTTCCTGCCTGGCCCACAGTCAGGACAAATCTCTATCACCTGCCAGTCCCATAGTCGCTCAGACCCGACCAAGTAAACACAGAGACTTATATTGGTTACAAACTGTATGGCCATGGCAGGCTTCTTGCTAACTGTTCTTACAGCTTAAATTAATCCATTTCCATTAATCTATATCTTGCCACATGGCTTGTGGCTTACCGGCATCTTCACATGCTGTTTCTCATCGTGGTGGCTGGCAGTGTCTCTCTGACTCAGCCTTCCACTTCCCAGCTTTATTCTCCACCTTGTCCTGCCTATACTTCCTGCCTAGCCAATGGCCAATCAGTGTTTTATTTATTGACTAATTAGCAACACACTTGCCATACAGAACATCCCACAGCACTTCCCCCTTTTTTTTTTCAAAAAGGAAGGTTTTAACCTTAACAAAGTAAAATTACATATAATTTGGGAATTTGGGCGTAGCTTCTCTTACTACTTCCTGCTGGAGGGGGGCGCTGTATCTTATGGGGATACAAAAAAAATTTTAGGATTATGGAATAGTCCGTGAGGCTGTATCATCTGAGCTAGTTGCCTTGAAACCATTCTGGATGTTGAATCATCTGGGCCATGGTGTCATCGGAGACCTTTCAGGGGGTCTTGGCTCGTCAAACCTGATGTATGTTAATCTGGAACAAATCCATAGCCTTTGGCTTTCTGTGGGAACAAAAGCAGAGTCTCCTTTCCAAAGCAACATATCCTTATATCCAAATTTTGAAGTCATGGTATCTTTAAAATATACATATTGGTTTAACTCAACATCTTTTATGATCAAATGTTTTTCTGCAGTTAAAAATCCCAAAGACAACACAATCCAGATTCTCTGTGTAATATCCATTTT